TAACTTTTAACTTTAAAATTATTTTTTAAATAAAAAAAAAAACAGTTAAATTATCTTTTTCATTAAAAAAAAAAATTATAAAAAATTATACGAAACTACAGATTTTTAAAAAAAAATTTTTATTCGACATTTTTTCGTTAAAAAAAAAAAACCAGAATGTTTTTCACTACTAGTAATATTGAAATTTAATTCCGGTTTTTACTTTATTGAAAAAATAAAAAAAAAATGAAAAAACAGTTCATAATGATTAAACCCTTTTTTCTTTATGAAAATCATTTCATTGTTTAAATAATAATTTTAGAAAAACATTATGTTCAAAGTAACAAAAAAAATTTTTTTTTTTTTAATACATTAAATACTTTTTATTATTATTACTATTATAAGTATTTTAAATTGTTTGTTTTACTAGATAAAAATAATACAATTTTGACTAAAAAGCATGTCATCAATTTTTTTTTGTAAATACATTTATTTTGAATTAAAATATACAATAATAATAATCAAATTATCTCTTGCATTCAAATAATTTATTTATATAAAGAAGAGAAATAAGGTACTCGGGAAATACAAGCGACTTTAAAAATTCACAGGACCACATTAAAAACTTTTATACAGTTCTGCAAAATAAATAATATTCGTTGAAACTGAGAAATTAGATCTGAAAATCAGAAACATATTATTGGAGGTAATAAAAATTAAATGAAAAATTCACAACACATCCATATTCAAATATTTTTGCCTGTTTAAGTTGTTAAAACTTTTTTGTTATTATTTACAAAATAACCATATTCTAATTATCATATAAATGACTAACAAATTTACTGTGTAAAAATACAGCTTCTGATTTAAAGAAAAAAAAAAATTGAAAAATTGTTCTTAATAGCTATATAAAGTCGGTTGATTTTTTTTTTTTTTTTTTTTTTTTTTTTACAGAAAATCTGATGGAAATCTGTGAATTATGTACTGCTTAAAATCGAATTAAAAAAACTGTAGTAACGAAAAAATTTTTATAAAGATAGGTGAAAAATAAAATTATTCACAATGTCATATCAAATCAGACATAGGGTAAACAAAAATTTTTAAATGATATATGAATTAAACATTTACAAAGAGTATAATTTAAACTACATTACCTTACTATATACAATACTTAAAACATCTGCATAGTTTCTTTAAAAAAAGGCATAATATATAATTGAGTGTCACATTTGGGGTAAATAAATTTGTCACACACATTAATGATTAATTTTCACCTTAAAAAAAGTTTTAATATACTACTAAAAGAATAAAAAAACGCAATAGAAAACTAAAACAGTGATAGTTTGATAGAAAAACAAAAATTATTTAAAGCTTCATTTATAATAAGAGATGATTTAGGTGGGTGACCTTGCAGACATATTCCCTTTGGCCAATAAGCATACCTGTCAAAAGTTGTTGACGTAACACTCGAACACAGCTTAAGGCTACATTGAACCTAAAAGGTCAGAAAAAGAACTTAAATGAACCAAGAGACAAATTAATTATTGCTTGATTCATTTGACTGCATATGAAGACAATTCACGAAGCTCACAAAATTCTGACAGTTAGACGCCCACAACTTTAAAAATGAAATCTTATCACTATTTTACTCACTTAGCGCATACTGAAATTTCAAACAATTAAGTTCATACAATTTTCACTTACAATATAAGAAATTGTAGTTGATTATATGTTTAAATTTATAAAAATTTCACTTTATACAATAGTTAAATTTACTTGTCAAAACACTGCATTACACTCAAAACAAGACGCCATGATGGTTACTTTTATTGATTTATTCGATGCGCGTTCAAGATGAACAAATATTTTGTTTTTATCGTATTCTGCTTAAAGCAAATCTCAGTCACTATTCTACAACTATTGTTAACGACTAATTACTAAATATTTATTTGGTAAATGGTTTAAAAAGTTTTATTCGCATTTAAATATAACATATATTTTAATAATATGATATAATATATATATATATATATATTTTTTTTGTGTTTTAAGGGATTGCAACCTGAGATTTTTTATTTAAATAATTCATTGCTCCAGCTATAAATCTCATATATATTCTGAAGTGCATCGCGTTTAATGAGGACTGAACTTATGTGTTCTATAAAGCGATTTATTTTATTATTTAAAACTTTAAAAGGTAATTTGCAAAAGCGTACAAATTTTTTAATGTATTTTTTTTTTTTTTTTTTTTTGTATAAACAAAGTACATATAATTACATTACAAAATCAATTTTTTTTTTTTAAAAACAGAAAAAAATTTTTATTTTCTTAAACAATGATTGAGTGGACTATAAAAGGTGTCAATACATCGTCCACAAGTGGAGGACCAATCTGTCGTAATTTTATGTCAGATTCTTGGAGGCTGAGAGAATCATTTTTAGCTGTATGTTTAGCTGCTTTTCTAGTCGGTTGGGGATATGATAATTTAACCTTTCCTAAAGTTAACATTCATCCATATAAATACCAAGCTGGAAAAATTATACTGTTGGTAATTTTTTCAATCGCATTCGGTATAGAAATTGGCTTTAAATTTGCTACACAAACTGTGATTTATTTGTTGAATCCTTGTCACATTATGACTGTGCTGCAGGTGAGTGATTATAGTTTTTGTCATTCTTCATAGGTGAACTACTACTTCTTTTTTTTAAATATAGTGAACTTGAAAGCTTAAAACCCAGTTAAAAAATGAAATTTATTTTTTGTGAAGCATTTTTGTTTGCTGGGGTTACCAGTTGTCTAAGATATATTGCTTGAATTATTATAAATAATATTGAAATTAATTTTAGCAGTTAATGGGGTGTAGTAATAATCGAAAAAATATTTTTAATTAACAAAACATCAAACATTATCGACTTTTACATTGTCTTTGTGTTTTAAAAAAAAAAAAAAAAAATGCTTCTTTTTATTAACATTAACTTTTATTAATAATTCCATTTGTGAAGCATTTTTTTGTACCCCATGGAATTATTTTAAATTTAATATTCTTTATTTTCCATTTGATTAGAAAATACTAATTAGCACACACATTTCTAAATGTAAAAAAATATTTATTTTTCAATATATATTTGGATACATACATATACATCTGTAAATTTATAAATGTATGTTTGCATCATGTGTGTATATGTGTATATATTTATATATAAACATATTTGTATACTATCACTAACTAATTATTCTAGTTGTATTTGCTATCAGTTGCTCCAAGTAATAAAGTCACTGCAGTTTTTCGCCTGCATCTTAGTCTTTTAAATGGACCTATTCTTGCATTTCTTTTCCCTGAAACAAATAATAGAAAGGTAATCATTTGTATAAATTACTTTTGAAGATGGTCAAATAAAATCACATTATTCTTATTATTAATTTTATTTATTGTTTCTTTCAGCTACCATTTGAAAAATGCATTTATTGGATTCAACACATACTTTTAATTATAGTTCCAATTTATCTCTTAAAACAAGGAGGTAAGAAAAATTTTTTATATTAAAAATAATTTAAATTTTCTACATGGACAATTTTTAAAAAGTTTTTTAAATGTATTTTAATTTTTTTTACCCTTTATGTTTTAAAACTTAAATAATACTGAAAGAAAAATATTTCATTTAAAATATATTGAATTAATTCAGAATAATTGTTATATTACAATATACATGGAAAACAGTCTTTCAGGTTTAGTCAATTTTTTTATCTTTTTCATTTTATGTGAAAAAATATTGTGAAATTGATTTTTAGGAGTAATGGAGTGCAGCAAGTAATTTTATTACTTTCGGCTCTATTAAATGTAAATCATTGATTACATCTTTTATTGGTTTTAAATTAATTTATGATAATATTCTTATTCGTCATAAACTGCACATTTGAAAACTTTCATCATTTATCATTTTAACATTTTATTTCCTTTTTAGTAATTCATTAATTGCGTGGCAATTTTAAGAATTTACCGATGAAATAATTTTTAAATTACCATAGAATGATTTTTAAAAAAATTAAAATCAATTTTTATTATTTACTCTTTTAGGTGTTTATAATGTGGAACCAGTTCGAGACATGTCGTGGATTATTTTCTCGTATGGTTTAAACATGTTATACCATTATATATTTCTTCAAATATTGGCGCTAGTGAGTATTTAAATATCACGTGATCTCATAGACATGGAAATATTGAAACCCTAAATTTGAAAAATATTACAAAAAAAAAAAAAAAAAAAAAATTCTAATAATAATTGATTTTATCAATTTTCCAAGTTAATATTTCAATATTTCTTCAATTGTAGTTTCATTTAATTAAAAATTCAAATGAAATATTATAAAATTATTACTAAGAACAAGGAAAAAAAAAATTTTTTTAAATGCGGCGGCTTTTTTTCCGTTTAAACAGTATGAATTATTAAACCAGTTAATAATTAATTAATGAACAATTATCAATGATTCAAAGAATCGTAATTAATTTAATATAATGATTTTTATTTTAGCCCACCGAAGTAAATTTAAATCACATGCTCTGCCCTGCTGAAAAGGATCCTTTTTCTGGACCATATTATCGAGTTTTGGCCATTTTTCATCAAGGTCTACTTTGTCCTTTGGTATACAAATTAGCATGTTATTATTTTGCGGCGTCGATTAATAAAGAAGATATTGAACTCATTAATAAAAAAAGTATTGTAGAAAAGATGAAAAAAAAACTTATTAGTGAGAATAAGACTGACAAATTGGATTGAATTAAATACAGTTTTATTATTATTTTTTTTTTTTTTCGACAATTCAAAAGTTGGTTTTTAAAATATTTGCAGACGTAGCACTTTTTGGTTTTTTTTTCCCCCTCCCCCCCAATATTCCTAGAATTTAAAGTTTATTATAAAATATGTTTGTATTTTACAGTACAATTAAATTAATGTAATATTTGATTTTTTTTTTTTTTTTGTAAATGAGGGGGAAAAAAAAGAATTACAAATCAAATAATTAAAATTTGACTTTTAGCAAAAAAATAATAATAATAATAATGCTTTGTTAATGAAAATTTTACTAAGAATTATTTCTTAATACTTCCAAATTAAATTATTTATTATTATAAAATATTAAAATAATATTTAATCATAAAAAAAATTTTTTTTTTTTTTTAAAAATACATTTTCCTGTTTGGAAAAATTAAATTTTATTTAATAATTTTAAAAATGTAAAACTTTAATTAAATGTTATTAAAAAAAGTACAAATTAAAAGTATTCCTGAATACAATTTTTTAATTATTATTTATTTGTATTTTTATTTTATATAAATGATTTGTATAAAATGGATTTTATACAAAGTATGACCAAGATAAAACTTAGGTTAATTTTTTCTTAAGAAGAAAAAATATTTTTGGGATAACATTTTAAACAATATTCCTAAGTATTGTGTGTCATAGTTATTAAGTGAATAAATAACTTTTATAACTTTTTGAACCAAAAATTATTTCAAAGGTAATTATTTATATAAATTAAGTAATCATTTGAATTATCTTACCTGTTTTGAAGTGTTTTAGTCACTGTGATCTGATATTTTCTATGTAACAAGGCTTCTTTTCACTTTTTTATACTTTTTGTTAGTCAGGAACACTTTTTGAATCTGTAATTCAAATAGAAATGAAATTTAAATGGTATGATTTTAATGATGAATATAGTAAATTTATTCAAATTATTCTGTTTTATTTTTTCACGAATCTTCCTTTACATTAAATATTATCTAATTCCTTTTAAAAAAATTTTATTGTATATTATTTTTATTAAGTTCTATACAAAATTTTAACAAATTTCAATATTTTTTTTAAATTGAGCAAAAGTAGTACTTATAAAAATAAAATGTATAAATTTTTAAAGACTTAAAATAATTTTTTTATTTTTAAAATTTTACAAATAAGTTCATTAAATTTTTTTTTTAAAAGCTGAAATTTTTAACTATAGAAAAATTAAAAAGTTAAATTACCTGAATAAAAAACATTGGCTTTTATTAATACTTGAATAATGAATTATTCAATAGCAATTAGCCATCCAAGGGTGCTCCCAAATACACCATTGAAACTTCTGTGTTTCCATAAACTGCAGAAACAGAAGGATACAATTTTTTGTCAGGAAGACCTGAAAAATCAAATATGTTTTTTAATAATTTAATATAAATTAATTTCATTTAATTTTAAAGTAAAATATATATATATATTGTTTAAAAAGTAAAGCTTATTTACATAAATTTTAGTGATTATTAAAGTTTTTGTCATTAATTATTTTTACAGAAATTGTAAAAATAAAATCCCAATATATTAAGATATCCTAAAATTATTGCTTAAATTACTTAAAAATGATTACTTTAATTACCTCTAAAAGCAACTCCTAAAAATTCATAATTCTTTTCAAAAGACAATGTATTATCTTCACAATCAAGTATAACGCGAATTTTTTCTCCAACTTGATACTTTGGAGCATTATTCAATAAAGGGTAACTGCCTTGAGAATCTCCATTATGTAACAAATGATTGTCTACCAAATTCCAACCCCAGCTTTGATCATCGGATCCTAACAATGCTATGTAACCGTGACATTGCAATGGAGCTTCTGAAGTAGTGATTCCTATTACGGCTACTGTACCTAAAGGACCCTCCCAAATGATTTCCCAAGCATGTCTTCCTCGTTTAAATCCTACTTTCGACCGAGCAGCATCTGTACTTTGAGCTACAGGGTTACGATGAAGAGTAAACCCATTTGTTTTAATATAAACATTTCGTGAACAGTCAGCAGGATTCCAAGCATGAAAAAAAGCTCTTAATTTGGCTTTGTACGAAGGTATAGATGAAAGAAGATCAGACTTCAAAGTATCATCTGTTATTTTACGAACGCATTGAAATCTCCACACGTCACTGTTCTCATCGCTTAAAAATCTGTTCCAACTTTTACAAACCAAAGAACAATTCTTAAGGTCGTGCAAAGCAAGATAAGAAAATAAAACTTCTAATACATTATCCGGCAAATTAGCAATACTTTCTACCATATTTGTTATACAATATTTTTTACATTTTACCAACTTAAAATGAGTAACGAAAAAAAAATTTTTTTTTTTTTTTTTTTTTAAAACCAAAAATTAAACCCCTTCCAATTTTCAAATGGGGTATAAATTAAAAAATTGTATATATTGTTTTAAAATTCCATTGTTGTATATATTTATCACTGGAAATTTTTATTTTTTTCATTATTTGTGAACTTTTTAAAAATTTTATTTTTTATAAAATTTAATTAAATTTTTTAAATTATTATTGTAATTTATTTTTTCTAAACCTAAAAAAATTTATAAATTTATGAATGAAATTTTATGATTTTCTGCGTATCGTCCAGTTTACATTTACGTGCGTACATCATCCAATTTGCCATAAATCAATTACCTTTTACTCAGAAATTTCCAGAAGAATTAAAAAAGTGCTTGTCTGATGAAAAATGTAAATCTCAGGTACTCTGTTTTACACATGCACTACTACATTCATTAAATATAAATTAATTTTTTTTTTCATATTTATCTTGTCATTGCCAGAATTGAAGTTATTACTAAAAGATATTTATGTGCTTTAAGGAAATCAGTGTAAATCCACTACCTTGTTGGGGATATGAAGAAAATTGTCATAGAAACCTGGTATATTCGCAACCAGTATGTACAGAAAATGATGGAATTCATCAACATTTTAAGAAAAATAAAACATCTATATTTTACAACCAAGGAGATTTTGGTTATATTAAAAGCCAAAGAGAGAGTATAAGAGTGATATGTGAGCCCAAATTCAAGGTGATTTTTTTTTTTTTTTTTTTTTTGTTCTTATTTTTGTCTAAGAAACTTTTTTCAAAAAAATTAGCTGATTTTAATTGATCGGTCTCTCAATAAGATTTGAAACTCGTATTTCTGTTTTCATATTTTCTTTTACAATTAAAAACATTTTCATATATATGTATATATATAATTTACTGAATGTTTTTTTCTTCAATCTTTTCTTAGTGTTCATATTTCTAAACTTATTAAGTGGTGCTAACCTCAAAACAATTCAGTAACCTTTTTCTCAAAAAAAAAAAAAAAAAAAAAACTCCAACAAGTACATGAAACTTGTTGTGTGTCAGAAGTGATGTTAATAATATTATATTTTAATTCTCTGTTATCCTTGGCTTTATTTAGTTTATCGTTTTTTCAGATATTTTAAATTTTGATTTAAAAAACAATATATTTAATTTATTTTACAGTTCGTCGACCTTTGATTGTACAAAGTCTGCCTGAAGTTAAATTACTACTAAAATGCACCCAAAGTAATCCTGATTTTAAACCATCTCGTTATTTTTAATTGTTATGACAACAGCGAAATTACGTCAGCTGGTTTGCATAACCATTTTTAATGATGAATGTGTGATAATAATCTGAAGATTTTCATTCAAGATTCTGTTAAATACTATTAACTTTCCATCTATTTTAAAAATAAAAATAAAAATAATACCATATAATTATTAAAATAATTTTTTTTTCTCTATATTTGTAGTTTTATGATAATAAATGTATGACTGATGACGCCGCCAGCTACTAAGCTCGGTGAGACGTTTAAATACATAAATAAACAATTGACGCACTGATAAATCCAAATATTTTGTTATTGAATTGCACATTTTTTTAATTTTTTTTTTCTTTTTTTTTTTAAAGGAAGATACTGCATTAGAATGCAGTGATCATCTTCAGTTTTGCCGAGGAAGAAATTTATTTATGAATTTTTCATCGCTTTCAACAATTAAAGAGCCATTCCGATATAAAATGGATGTGTTTTCTTACGGAGATATCGGTGGCTATTGCGAACTTCATAAAAAACGACTTTCAAGCTTAGTTGATCATTTGAGTCCTTTGCAATCTTGGGCACCAGAAATAAGATTTTTTAAACAATTCGATGAAAGACCAATTGTAAATAATTTATGCGACATTATTATTATGAAGCCAACATTTATAATGAAAATAGATGCCAGTAAGCATATGAACACTTTTTTATTTTATTTTTTTTAATACAAAAAAAAAAATCAATTGTTTTTTGTATAATTTGATTTTAGCAGTAAATATGTATCATCATTTTTGTGATTTTTTTAATTTATATGCATCGTTACATGTCAACATGTCACATCCTCTGACATTTTCTACTGACATAAATATCATTATTTGGGAAACATTTCCTTATCATTCAAACTTTGATGAAATGTGGAGAGTGTTTTCAAATAATCCAATTTTGACTTTAAGAAATTTTATTGGAAAAACAGTTTGTTTCAAAAATGTTGTATTTCCACTTCTACCCAGAATGATATTTGGTTTATATTATAATACTCCTCTTGTAAGTAAAAAACAAAATCATTTGAGAAATTTTCAATATTATTGTTTCCATTAATAATATTATTATATATAACATATTTTTCCTACAAAATTTATGTATACTGTACTAAAATTTTTGCTCAAATTTACTTTGTTTAAGGTACAATAAAACAAGTAGAGCTAAAATGTTTTTTTTTTTTTTTTAGATTAGCGGTTGTAAAAAGAGCGGTCTTTTCAAAGCTTTTTCTGAATTTGTTTTACACAGATTGAAAATTAAAGAACATGAGCGTGAAAATTCGCAAATTAAAATTACTTTACTTTCTCGTGAAACATCTTTTAGAAATATATTAAACGAAAAAGATCTTATTAATTCACTTTCTCAAAATAAAAGCTACAATGTTAAAAAAACTGTTTTTAACAAAAATATGCGTTTTTCTAGTCAGTTGGAAATAATAAGAAACACTGATATTTTAATTGGTATGCATGGAGCTGGACTCACTCACCTATTATTTTTACCCGACTGGGCTGGAGTTTTTGAACTGTATGTTTTCTTCTTCTTCTTCTTCTAAAACAAAAAGTATGAAAAAAAAACTTGTTAATTAATTGTTTTTTATAATACAGGTACAATTGCGAAGACGAAAATTGTTACATGGATCTTGCTAGATTAAGAGGAGTAGAATACATTACTTGGGAAGATAAAAATAAGCTTTTTAAAGAAGATGAAGGACATCATCCTCAAGGAGGTGCTCATGCCAAGTTTACAAATTATGCATTTGATGTTGATGAATTTTTGCGTTTGGTTGACAAACTTGTTTCACGTGTAATACATCATGAAAAATTTTTAAAGAAAATCACTTTAGTTCAAAGGCATGAAGAACTATAAATTTCTTATTGTACTTATGAGTACTGTTTGTTGGAACAACTTATTTTAGTACTCTTGCAAATTACTTTTTGTTTCCATTATAAGTAACTTCCACAAATTATCTTTAATTTATAAATATTTGCACTTGTTACTTAATGAACTAGATTTTTTTTTTTTTTTTTAATCACTTTCTCATATGTTTAGCACGGTTTATTTATTTATTTTTCAATTAACTTTTTTATACTGTAATAATAAAAATAGAGTCTATACCTTTTTATAGATTATATTTTTGATATATAACTTTAACATTATAATGAAATAATTTAAGTAATTTACGTGATAAATTAATGTAACGTACTCTGTTTTTTAGCACAAAAATTAGAGTGCGCGTAAAAATAAAATTATAAAAAAAACTTTGCTAACAATTTATTTTGTAAAAAAATTGTAAACGAAAACAATATAAAACAATTTTTTTTTTTTTTTTTTTCAAATTAAAAAACGATTAAAAAGTTTTTTTATATTATTTTTATTGATTTTACAACCAATAAAATTATTAAAACACAAAATAAATTTTTTTTTGACACAAACTTCTTTCTTAATGGTACATTTAAAAATTTTTTCAACGTTTGAAACTATTAAAAAATTATGTTTTGCATTTATCGTATAAAATGAATAATTTGAGCAAAACGTTCAAATCCAAGTTAAAGTTTAATCACTTTTAAAAAAAATATTATTATTGCTGGAAACCAAAAATAGAATAAATAATTATTATTCATAAAAAAGCACGATTAATTTGATCGTTTTTTTTTTTTTTTTTATGTTTTACAATTCCTTCCCGCGTAATTTTTCCTTTTAATGTTATCCTTTTGTTTCTTTCAGATATAACAGTCCGCCATCGTTCTTTTGTTTTGCTCAATGAAGTTTAAAAATTTAAAAAAAAAAAAAAAAAAAAAAAAAGCTTCAAATCGACTTACAAAAAAATTAATTATGGAATCTTTCCTATCTTCATTTTTTAGAACTTTCTTTAAAAAATTTTAAATTACCTTTTAATACTGACCGTACTGACCGAGACCCATAAATTATGAAAAAAAAAAAAAAAAAAACACTAAGTGTAACCAAAATTTATGCTTTTTTTTAAATGTCGCATCACTTTCCACTCATGAAAAAAAAAAAAAAAAATATTTTATGATTTTTCGCCAAAAAAAATTTATTTTAAACCAAATTTTTTATCTTTTTTTTATTGAAAATCACACTAAATTCCAATCACAAAAATACACTGTTTGGATTCAAAAAATTATTTAAAATAAAATTTTAATAAAATTTTCTTTTGAAAGAAATAACAAGTTACACTGCAAACAATTGTCATATAAATTACTATTATTATTACACTTACAATTTCATTTAACAAAAAAGTTTGAAAAACCACATTAATTAATCCTGTTAATAAATTGCTTATTAAAAAAAAAAACAAGCCATTAGCATTTATGCTTTGTAGTAAAAAAGGCACCCTTAAAATTGTATTAATTTTACCTGGCTTTTCATTTTTTAAAATTATTAAACTCAACTCAATTATAGTTAACAATAGCAAAATATTTACAGTTAAAGATAAAACCCATATTATGTAACCACTATTGGCTAATCTCCGAGAAATACCAAAATTGTGATTAAAAAATATGACAGTAACCCAGCCAAAAAATGACAAAGACACAAAAAAAGTAATTACATTTTGATATTTCATTGATGATGAAAAAGTCAAAAATTTTCCTAAACAGGTAGCAGCAAAATATATACATAAATACCCTAAACAAGAGAATAATCCCTCTCTATTTGCAGATAAAAATGTATTCCTAGGCTCATTTGAAAATATCCATTCTCTTATTCCCAAGCTTAAAATGGCTTCATGAATTATACCAGTTACAATACAAAGCCATAAAAAATTTTTATTTTGAAATAATAACTCTGCTAGGTAAATAAACATTTTGCAGCATCCAAGAGTGAAAAAAAAATTCCATTGAGTTCCATATTCTGTCAAATGCTCCTGGTATTCAATGGTTTTTGTTGAAATTAATCTTATAAATCCAAACATGAATAATACACCACAGTTTAAAAAGTTTTTCAGAACATTAGTCTTTGTTTGATGTGATTTTCGATTGTGAACAAGCCCATTTGCACAGATGAAAAAACCAACTCCAAGATCCATTAGTCCGCAACCATACAACTCAGTTTTAGCAAATCTTCTAGGAAATACATGAAAATCCACTGCTAAAATACAAATGGCCGAAATGAAATTCGTACTGGCTCTATAATATGTAATAATATTTTTTCCACTGGTGCATTTACAACATAAAACATCTTTAATAGTTTCAAAAGATGAATTTTTTATCATAATTCCAAAGTACAGCAAGACTGTATTCAAAAAAAATATATAAGTAATGTCTGAGAGTATTGTAAGATTTAGGATGGTCAAAAATAAAATAATAAAAAATTCAAAAAATATTTGCACAGTTTTAGAAACCATAAAAGATATCCAAATGGTAAAAAAAATATACAATGGTATTAAAGATAATAAAACTCCGCATTCTTGCAAAGAAGTGCCATTATTGAATTTCATGAAATCTTCATGATAGCTTTTATAAGTTTTAAAATCCATGAAAACTCAACTAAAAAATTAAAAAAAGGTAATTTACTTATCTTGATTCCATAATTTATTTTTTTTATTAATAGTAAATACCAAAATTTAATAAATTATTAACCCCATGTAAATAAATATTTCATTAAATAAAACTAAAGACAATTAAACAAGATAGGCGCAAAATTAGACCAATGTAAAAACAATTCATTACTTGACATTATATATTTTTTTTGTGTAAATTAAAATTTAAAATACCTTATAAATTCTTCAGTCAAGCACTAATACAAATCTTTATTTTCGAATACATTAAGAATCTAATAATTTAGCTTGATATATAACGAAAACATTTTAAATCATTTAAAATGAAATAATTGAGAATTAATAACATAATAAAGCACGTGATTTTAATTCTGTACTCAAATTAAACTTCTTATGTTACCGACACCTGAGACGTTCGCGATAAATTGCCTGCATTAAAATCATAGGGCGGAGAAGGCTCTTCACTTAACGAAGATATTTTGACGTTTCTGATCGTCTGCTTCTGCATAATCAATTTATTTTAAATTTGAAGTTTAGTTTTACAGTTTCTGTTTAAAAAAATTTACTTAAGTCTACTTAGTACTAAAATTATTTGACATTAATTTTTTTATTGTTACCATTTAAAAAAAAAAAATCTTCAGCATATTAATGCGTAATATCGTGTAAGACCTTGAGGTAATTTTCACTTTCGTAAAAGAGCATAAAAACTAAGAAAATGTCTTCAGGTCCGTACAATTATTCTTATATATTTAAATATATTCTTATTGGAGATATGGGAGTGGGAAAATCATGTTTACTTCACCAGTTTACGGAAAAAAAATGTAAGTGTGAGAATTAATCTTAAATTGAAGAAATTTTATTGCACGCTACTCGAATGACTGACCTGTCTTTTATTATTAACTCATCATTCAACATTTCTTTAAGAAGTTTTTGAAATGTATTACAGTCATGTCTGATTGTCATCACACTCTGGGAGTAGAGTTTGGTACAAGAGTTATTGAAGTGTCAGGGCAAAAAATTAAACTTCAAATCTGGGACACAGCTGGGCAAGAAAGATTTAGAGCAGTTACTAGGTCTTACTACAGGGGAGCTGCTGGTGCACTCATGGTGTATGATATTACTAGAAGATCCACATATAATCATTTAAGTAATTGGCTCACTGATACGAGAAACTTGACCAATCCCAGCACTGTGAGTTAAAAGCATTTTTAAAGTTATTTGAAAATGAAGTATTCATAACTTATTATTTCTCATTTTTTATTTTAGGTTATATTTCTAATAGGTAATAAATGTGACTTAAATCAACAGAGAGATGTGACTTATGAAGAAGCCAAACAATTTGCTGAAGAAAATGGTCTGATGTTTGTCGAGGCAAGTGCTAAAACGTAAGTATTCAGAGTTCAAAACATTTATTATTAACAACCAATTTATATAAACAGTTAATAGGGAATAATTTATAACCAAAAAAAAAAAAAAAGAATTGTATTGTTTCTAAATTAAATTTTAGAGGTGAAAATGTTGAAGAAGCATTTTTAGAAACAGCGAATAAGATTTATCAAAGTATCATTGATGGTCGATTAGATCCTAATGCAGCTGAATCAGGAGTACAACATAAAGCAACACAACCAGGAAGATCAACTGCAGTTAATGATCAAAGTCCTTCAAAAGAAAATTGTTCTTGTTAGTGTTCATCTGAATGCACAATAATTATATTTAAAAAAATAAATTACAATTTATAATTATTGTAATAACACATAGGTTATGTACACAGTTATGTGTGTAACTCTGTGTGTAAGCATGTGTGCATGAGTGTGATTGTGTCTGTGTGTGTATGTTTGTGCAAATGTTTGTGCATGTTGGCATGTATATATATATATTACTCTGTATGTATATTTTTGACTTTATAGTGCATTGTATATAAACTCACAGTTTAAAAAATAATAATCAAATTAATGTATTAATAATTAAGAAATAATTTAATTTTTAATGGCTTCAAAAAGGGGAGAATGATGTTATTTACTAAGTCTCAGTAATAAACATAAGTCAGAATTATAAAAGTTATGTTTACACATATGAAAATTTAATATTAAGAATTTTAGTATAAAAATTTGAGTTGTTCAATTTTAAATTATTTATTTAAATACATGGTACAAAAATAAATAATAAAAAATTGAATGACATGAAAAAATTACTGTTTTTATTGCATATTTATTTTATATTTGTTTTATTCTATCGAAATGAAATTAGAGATATTTTCTCGTTTATAGGCTTTCCAAAAAAAGACATATTGTTACTTTTTAGGTATCTCCAGTAAATAATACAACAAAAAAAAAAAAAGATGCCTATATAATTATTAGTTTTATAATATTTTTATTTATCGCTGTTAAATGAATATATGGGTATAAAGCGAATTTTTAGAAAAATAATTAATAAAAAAATTCTAAAAAAACATGTGGCATACCAATGTTTGAAATTCCATGTTTCTTTTTGTTTTTTTTTTTTTAAAATTATTGCTAACTTATTTATATTGTACTAAATACTACTAATTAAATGGTACATATGGAATAGAAATTATGAATTGTATTCTGTTGCATTTATTATTTATATAAAATATGAATATAATTGAAAATAAAAGAAATTGAAGAAATTATTATGTTAACAACAACAAGTTAATCCTTTTACATTTTATTTTATTTTAGTTTTACTACTATCTAAATTTTTAATTCCTTTTAAAAATCAATATTAAATTATAGCAAATTTTTAAACTGAATTAAATTTTAATTTACAAAAAGTAGTAAACAAGTAACATGGAAATATGAAAATATTTAAAAAAGTAATTGATTTCATTTCACGAACAAAGATATTAAATTTTTTTATTAATTAAAAAATTAAATACAGAAAATAATAGTAATTTAATTAATGCATTTATTATTTCCAAAAATGTTATGAATACATTAAGGTTTTTAACTAACGTCATCCTTTAAATGTTCTTACTATAAATAACTTTTGTTTCCAAATACAAATGTAAAGAAAATGTATTGAATTTGAATCATTTTGTACAAAATAAAGCGAATAAAGAAAATTAATAATTTTTATACTGAAACTAAAATAATCTCAAGATTTATGGATTAATTATAATTTGTTGATAAAAAATGAAAAGAATTATTTAAAAAAAAAACAATTTATACAAAAGTTTAAATGTAATTCTTGTGAACAACAATAAATATGGAAGAGCTATTCAGAGTTAAAAATTTTTTTAAAGAACTTTATCTATTCATATTAGATTCCAATTTTCCAGTATGGAATGTGATGATGAAATTGTAAAAATTTTTAAATTTCTATTTAATACCATATATAAAACTAGTCAAGTTATAATTAATGTCACTGCCCATCTTTAAAAATAGTTTATAAATAAGAATTTTTTTATTTTTATTTTGAAGCAAGACGATATACATAAATATATAATTTTATTTTTATTTTTTTAAATTGAATAACAAAGAAATGCATATAAAATAAATAATAATAATTAACAGAGATTACAAGTTGGCACAATATATGGCAAATAAATAATAAACATATCTACTTTCTATTACATGTTTTTAAAATTCTCATTGTGCAATCTCTTATTTTTTGTATAGATTTACTTGGTTTTTTTTTTTTTTTTTTTTTGCCATAAATCCCATTCAAATTTTCATACTCACTAAAGTTATTTTGTTGTTTTAAAATGTATAAAAAGTAAATTTGATTGTTTGTTCAATAGTCCATTATGATTAGAAAACTTCATTGTAATTTCAGAATGTTAACAAAATTGCATGTAAATAATTTTTTTTCTATAATCAAATTTTTTTTCCCTCAATACTTTGTTTTCAATTTGTTTCACATAAATGGTTAACAAGTTCTTTACAGAGTCCTAGTTAAATTATTGCATAAAATATATATTTTTTAAAATTGAATCTACTTAATTGTATCGGGAACGATTGAACCCAATAATTTTATTTTTCTTTTACAACAATATAGTCTTCGAATTAGTATAATATAAAAAAAAAAAAAAATCATCATAAAATTAAATGTTCTAGTCAACATATTATAAAATTTTATTATTGGATCATCAGATTAAAATTAGTAATAGATTAACTTTATAGAATTACTGAACAGCCCAATCGCAGAGTAGTAGTATTTATTTAATACAGTATAGTAATATAGAGTAATATATTTATTTAATTACCTTTTTCAAGAATTATTCACTTTTTACCAAAGCCACATTACACATAAACTTGAATCCTCTGGCACTAATTGAAACTATTTAAAAAGCATATTTTATTTTATCTATTTCAAAAATTTTAAAATAACTTTAAATTTTGCAAAAAAAAAAAAAAAAAAAAACACTTTTGTTATACATGTTAACATCAGTGATAATACAAAAGAGAAAACAAGTATTTTTTATAATAATTGTGCTGTATTACTAGTGTGTAATAAAGTGTATTTGAAAAATTTTTGTAACACTTTTTTGTATGATAAAATACTTATTTACAAACAATTATGGAGACATTCAATGTATAGTAAAAAAAAATTATGCAAAATAAATAAAGCATAAAATAAATTTAAAGCTTTTATTTTGAAGATACCTAAACTCTTTTGGAATCAGTTAAAACTCTTACAATGCTACCCACGCCAGCGGCTGCAAAAACTTTTTCGTGCCATACCAAAAGGTGTCCACTGGAACCTTCTGAAGGGATTTCAAATCCTCTATAGACGTACTTCATTAATATGTCTAATAAATCCGTGTCCAACAGACTTATTATTTCATCCATTTGCGATGCTTTTATAGACATTAAAACTTTTAAAGTAATATTAAAGGCATTTTCTTTGATTTGTTGGCTTTTTGATCCTAGAGGAGCATTTGACAAAACTGTGCGCAATGCTTCGAAATATTTGCCTTGAGAAATCATTTGGGTTACTTCACACTCGTCTGGCCCTACAGGTGAAGACTGCATTTCATTTTGATCATCTTCCTTAAAATTATCTTCGTTATACTGATCAACGTCTATTTTTCTAAAAGCCGAACTTAAGGTATTTTTTGCCATTTTGAAATATTATTAGTAATGGTTTTTAAATATTTAATATGTCTTCTGCTAAACTCGTTTAAACATTTGTTCAGTTGGTCATATTGTAATTTCACCTGACACTTTTTAATGACAAATTGCAATTGTGAATATAAAATGTGAATTATAATATAGGCAAGAAAATTAAACTATTATCTTGTAAAATTCACGCTTTAAGTAATATATCTTTATTTTGTATATATCTTTATAAGGTAATAAAAAATTTGATTTCCTAAACAACCTGTCTAATTACATATTTTTTCTTTTCCTGTGCAATTTATTTAGTATAGGACAAACCCAAAATTAAGCTGTGCGTCATTACTGTTTTATTATTTTTTTTTTTTTTTTTTTTAGTATGTATTATAATAATTGTTTTCAGAAATTCGTCCAAGATTACAAGTATTTTTGTTTTTAATTTTTTATTTACATTGTCAAAAATATTCATTATGATTGAATTTGATATTAAAGCTAATATTTATTGATCCTTAATAAAATTCAAATTCAATTTTTTGTTTTTTTTTTATCACAATAAAATTTTTAGTTTTAGGTTTGAGTTTATTAATTAATTAAAATGCCTTTATTTGGAAAATCAGCTAAAAGTCCAGCTGAGGTGGTTAAATCTCTTAAAGAAGCAATAAGTGCACTGGAAAGAGGAGACAAAAAAGCTGAAAAAGCACAAGAAGAAGTCAGCAAAAATTTGGTTCTTATTAAAAATATGTTGTATGGAACATCAGAAGCAGAACCTCATACTGAAATAATTGTTGCTCAATTAGCTCAAGAACTGTATAATTCAAATTTGCTTCTCATATTAATTCAAAATTTAAATCGCATAGACTTTGAAGTGAGTACTAAATAACACTAATTTAATGATATATATATATATGTAAACAAGGAAAGGGATATTTATACAAATAATTACATGTAATTTTATAAGCAAGACCAAATGAACAACATGCTTCTAAAAAAAAATTAATTTTAAATTTATTATTATTGTATTTTAATATATAGTATTATTTATTTTTTTATAATTGATGATCTGTTTTATAACAGATAATAATGATTAAAAACAATGTTTATATTTAATCAATCACGAGGAAAAATTTTTTTTCATCATCTGATTGTGAAAGTTAATCTTTACTCTTTTGTTGTAGGGGAAAAAAGATGTGGCTCAGGTTTTTAATAACATTCTTAGACGCCAAATAGGGACTAGGTCACCAACTGTGGAATATACATGCACAAAACCAGAAATATTATTTACCTTGATGAAGGGATATGAGCATCAAGAAATTGCTCTCAATTGTGGGACAATGCTCAGAGAATGTGCACGATATGAAGCATTGGCTAAAATAATGCTTTATTCTGAAGATTTTTTTAATTTTTTCAGATATGTGGAAGTTTCTACTTTTGATATTGCATCTGATGCATTTTCTACTTTTAAGGTATTTGCAATGAAACAAACAAAAACATATTATTGAAATCATTTTGTAAAAAATATAGTAATAAAATGAAAATCCATAAATGCAGGCCATTCATTCATTGTCTGTTATTTTAAGATTTAAAAATTTTAATTTTTTAGGAGCTTCTCACAAGGCATAAAGTTTTGTGTGCTGAATTTTTAGAAGTGAATTATGATAAGGTATTCACACATTATCAAAGATTATTGAATTCTGAAAATTATGTTACAAGGCGTCAAAGCCTCAAACTTTTGGGAGAACTTTTATTGGATCGTCATAATTTTGCTGTTATGACAAGATATATATCTAGCCCAGATAATTTAAAACTGATGATGAATATGCTTAAGGAAAAATCTCGAAATATACAATTTGAAGCTTTTCACGTGTTTAAGGTAAATATTACCCTTTTAATTTAAAAATAACTAACTGTACTGTACAGATTTTAAATTAAGTTTTAATATCAATGATTTAGTTACAAAGTGGTTAACAATATTACTTTAAATTTAAAATTTAAATTTTGTAAACTTGTAATCATTTATGTGCTTGTAGTAAATTACATTACATTATTTTCACAAATATTTATTTTCATTTTTTTGGGTGATGGCTAAGTTTTTTTTTGTTTATATAATCAGGTAACACACAGGTAAGGAATATTAAATTTTTTAAAAAAGGTAAACACTCAATGAGTAGATATTATTAAAAATGTTAAGTTTTTAAACATTAAATGTGGTTTTAATTTATTTTAGGTATTTGTGGCCAATCCAAACAAGCCTAAACCAATATTAGATATTTTATTGAGAAACCAAGAGAAATTGGTGGAATTTTTAACTAGGTTTCACACAGATCGTTCTGAAGATGAACAATTTAATGACGAAAAAGCTTATCTCATAAAACAAATAAAGGAATTAAAACCGGTGACAGAACATTAGCAAAAGAATCATATGTAAAACGTTCATCTGCTGTCAAAATCAGACTAAAGAAGGTATTACTACTGTAGAAAAATGCATTAAAACAGCTTATAATATTTTTGAATATTTTATTTACGTAGATTCCTATTAATAATTGTTCACGTTTTATAAAAAATTTTGCTATGCGGTATGTTTTTTTTTTTTTTTTTTTTTTTTTTTTTTTTTTTACGGGGGCGGGGGGGCTTGAAATATTTGTCTTCCTAAAAATCAGAGCAAATATTTGTTTGGAAGCCTTCCAGTGTAGTACTTAATTAATTGTTTTTTTTTTTTTTTTTTTGAAATTTCTTTTTATTCACGGTATATATATATATATATATATATATATATATATATATATATTAACATCGTAATTTTTATTTAAATGATAATTTCATTATTGTTTATAACAAATAGGTAACGATAAACAATCAAATGATACGATTATAAATATTTTTAATATTAATTTTTATTTAGACAAATAATATATATATATATATTTATGTCCTACTAAAAGTTACTATTAATTTATCAAATAATTGGGGGAATTGTAACTATCTATCATAACTATAATTTGTAAGCATGTAATTTAAAAAAAAGAAAAAAAAAACAATGTTAATTATTATTTTTTTTTGTTATTAATTATTTGTTCACGTTTTCTATATTAAAGATAAAAGCAACAAAGACGCCGAAGAGTAAATTGTGCTTTTTAATGTTTTTTTTTTTTTTAACGGCCAACGAGATGTAAAAATTTAAATTGTGTTCAGCATAAAACACAACATTTAATTTATATATATATAAATATAATTTATTAACGTTTTACAATTTCAAATGTGCAGTTTTTTTTTTTTTTTTTTTCTTTAATAAAAGGGCCGTTTAAAAATAGTAAATTAATTTAATGTACTACCGAATCAATTAAAGGAATTTTAGGGACGAATACACATCTGTCAATTGGATTTCATTATTATTATTATTATTATTATCAAATCTATAGTTAAAAAAGACTTTTAGTATATTTGCTTAAATGACAACTTTTATTTATATATTTATTTAAATATATAATTTTTTTTTTTTTTTTTTTTTTTAAAAACCTGTTAGATATTGCCCAAGCTTTACGTTATAGCCTTTTAAATTTACTTGTAAATTATTAATTAAAATATTTTCAAAATAAACCCCCAGATGTTGATACCCTATATAAAAAAAAAAAAAAAGAAAAAAAAATTTGTAAACTAATTGAATTATTAGTTTAAAAAAAAAAAAAAAATATGTAAAAACTTTGATTACGAATAATTAAATACCTTTCAAATTAAATAAATTAAATTATTTATTTATTTATTATTTTCTCAAAAAAAAAAAAATATTGTAAAAGCGTTTTTGTCGATTAATTATCTTAAATTGCAATTTTAAATGCACATAATTTTTTTTCTAAATAATAATAATAATAACAACATATAAATTACAAAAACAATATTTTTAATTTATATGGATGGGGGGTGGGGGAAAGTTAATTACATTTTTATATTTTTTAATCGTTCCTTTCTAAATAAATGAAACTTGATTATTAAATTGAAAATCAAAGAGAATATATAATTTCTTTTATTTAAAGATAAAAAATTAAAAGGTACGTTTATTTATAAAAAAAAATTCATTTATTTATTACTAATTTACAAAAGGGACAAAAAAAAAAAACTTATTAATGAAACTAAATTAATTTGTTGATATTTGTTATTTGAAATTTCTTTTATTTATAAAAAAAAAATTATCCACACTTATATATAAATAACTTGGTTTGAAAAATAATTAGCTACGAGAGGAAAATTCCTAAAATAATTTAATTTTATTTATATTAAATAAAATAAGAGGGTCAATCAATAATCAACCCCATTTTTCACACATAAATATGAAAATTTTTTTTTTTTTTTTAAAATCCCGATCATAGAAATTGATGATAATTTAATATACTTTTCTTTCTTTTTTTTTTTTAATTATTTTTGTCAAAAAATATAAAAAAAAGCACATAAAAATGTTCTCATAAAATACAAATTAAAAAATTATTATTTTAAGATTTTATAACAAGTAGAATGAATGAAAATTTTAATGAATTTTTTTTTTTTTTTATTGAAGAGTTTACAATAAAAAATTATTCTTAAAAGAATAAATTTTGTTTGTCTTTATTTAAAATCAAATAATTTCATATTAATTAACATTTTTTAAAAAAATGATTCGAAGCGAGACCGGGAGCAGAATTTCATAAAGGAAAATTTCAATTTTTAATTAAATAAAAAATAATTTAAATTTAGTAATAAATATTTACAACAACTTAGAAATCTATAAAGTCTCATATTCTACTGAACTATAACTTTATAACCATTTCATTTACATAGGTTTATCTTTTTAATTTTATTATTTTCATGAGTTGTGATAAAATAATTGATCTTATATTAAATATTAAAACTGTAAAAAATATATAGATTATTTTAAAATTGTACTTTAAACGCCTTTAATATTTAATTAATTAACAATATCTTGTTACTTCGGAAAGTGATGTTCTGTAAAAAGGCATAAAAATTATTTTCTATTTGACATAATTATTATATATATATTTTTTTTAAAATTATAGTTCTATTATTATTACTATTATTATTACGTAAAAAAAAAGAAAGTAATTTGATAAAAGATAAAAAAAGTTTTTTTTCCACACACCTTTTTTAAGTACTAGAACAGAATGAAAAAAAAAAAAAAAAAAAAAATTATGTAATACTGAGGTACCTAGAAATCCTTTCAGTATGCAAAGAAAAATCACATTGACACATTTCAGAAAAAAAAAAAAAAAAAAAAGTCCTATTTTTTATTATTTGATCATTCGCAAAAGTTTTACTGAGGCGGTGGCTGATAATTTTGAAAACGACTTTGCTCGTAGCCAAATTGTCCCGCTCCCGCAGGTTGATTTTGTGGACCTGATGATGGCATTTGTGGCGGGCGAGAATATTGTTGGGAATATTGATTAGCAGGAGGATACGATTGTGAATAACCGTGTTGAGGATAATTTGATTGTTGATAATTCTGTTGGCTCCCGGGCTGATAATTTTGTGTTGGTGCAGGAGGATATTGTCCCGTAGCAGAAACCGAGCCTTGACCAGAGGGAGATTGATATGGTTGAATTGTTGCCGAATTTTGCGATTGACCTCCCTGATACGTAGGTTGACTCGAAGATGTAGCCACAGACTGAGATGGCGGAGGAGGAGGCGGCGGATAAGTACTTGCTTGAGATCCCGGAGGAGTCGGATAGGATTGCGAAGAGTTGCCCTGTGCGTAGGTTTGAGTTCCGGCGGACGGTGAACTACTTACGGGAGAAGGAAAAGTTGTTTGAGCAGGAGTGTTAGGCGGTTGAGAAAAAGGAGTTGCAGTGGGATTATAATTAGAAGGACCAGGGCTATAAGCTTGGGTAGCGGGATGCGGCTGAGGAGATGGATAGTTATTTTGATTGTATCCAGTTTGATTGGCATTAGGTGTAAATGAAGCTCCCGGCGATGATGTATAACTGTTTGTTATCGAAGGTTGAGAACTTGAGTAGTTACTAAGCGGAGCTTGAAAACCAGAAGGTTGATATCCTGATTGATTGTTCGAAGTAGATGGCGGATACGCAGAAGATTGAGTTGTGGAAGGCGGTGGAGGAGGAGGAGGGGGAGGCGGCGGCGGAGGTGGTCCATAGGGTTGTTGTGGTGAAGGTCCATATTGAGATTGTGAACCTGATGTATAATTAGGAGAAGGAGAGCCATATGTGTTTTGAGACGATGCTTGAGTTCCATAGGTCGTATTGTAACTTCCTTGTGGCGAAGAATAAGAACTGTTGGGAGCTTGCACAGGAGCTACATAATTTTGTCCTTGCGTTTGCGGCGGATATTGATTTTGATAATTTTGTTGCTGGGGATACCTGTATGATTGTTGACCTGGACCAGGATTTCTGGGTGACATGTTTTGTTGACTCGAAGAAGTTCTGAAATTTTGAGGCTGAGGAAAAACTTGTACTGAGCCACTAGTAGTCTCATTTGAAGAAGAAGCAGATGTTACAGGGACACCATGTTGAGGTACTTGTCCTGGAGGCTAAATAAAAATTCATAATCATTTGCAAGCATAGAAAATTTTTAGGAACCCTAAATGAGTATGTTACAAACTAAAACAAGTCATATTATATGATAAAGAGATAAAATTGTAATGTACAATCAATGATAAAAAACTTAAAAACAGGTCAAAATTTAAAATGTGTAATAAAATTATTTTTAAAAATTTAAAAAATAAAATTACTACTAAATATGTTCAAAAAAAATTATTAAGAATATGCATACTTTTACTTTAAGTACTCTTATTTACTGTAACAAAAAAATGATTAATTTTTACAATTATTTAAATTAGAAACCCAATATATTGAATAACATGAATAAATATAATTATTTACTCATAAATTTTATTTAATTTTATAAGACTGTTTTTTTAGACTCCTAGGATTTAAAATAAAACTTACTGGTAAAAGAGCTTGAACATTTTGGTTAGCATCAGCTATGGATGCTAAATAAACTAAATTTCGATGAAGTATTTGTTGGTATTGCATACACTCAGAAATTTTTCCTTTGCTCTGAAATTCTTGAATAGACTGAATCAAATGACTGTTTTCATCTAGCATCTGAAAGAAAAAAAAAAAAAAAAAAAAAAAACGTTTTTAACGAAAACTTATTGAATAAAATTAGTTAGTGAGTTTTTATTAATGATTGCTGCAATTTTTACTAACTCTATCCGTATACTTTGCATAGTATACTTATAAATGCACGCACGTACAAATATGCTGATACTCATTTATATATACAAAGTTTTATAGTAATACTCATTTATAAAATTATACATATTTATATTTAAAATAAAATTGTAATTTTACCTTTAAATAATTTTAGAAGGAAGAAAAATTAAGAAACAAAAATTTTTTTTAAAAAATTATGTACAAGATAAATATTTAAAGTTAATTTAGTAATAATTTTTTTAAACAAACAAAAAAAAAATTATAAAACATTTAGTATGAACAAACCTTTTGAATTTGAATCGCCGTGGGAGGCGGTCTGCCTCTTTGAACAAATGCTACAGACATTTTAACTGAAGAAAAATAAGTATAATTCAAAAAAAAATTCAAAGCAGTCACTCTTTACAATAATGGAGGCATTCCAGTACAAAATACTACCATAGACTACAATTTAATGTCTACCTCGTAAACATGCTAGTCTATGAAAAAATTATTATTTTTAAAAAATTTTGTTTTTCTATGACTTGAATGTTATAAGTGTTATAAAAAGTAATAAACCTCAGTAGGGATATTATTGTTCAATTGTAAAAATAAAAAATTTAAAACAAATTCGTAAATATTTATAAAAGCCGGCATTTTTATAAAAATAATAATCTAGGTTCCTTTATTTTTATTATAAATATTCATGAAAAAGTTTTAAAAAAACTGTATTAAAAAATTTTTTTTGTCAATTTTTGAAGTTTATGATTGTTTTTGAAAATATTAAATGAAATAACTCAGCACTCATTTCATGATAATGTTACCACAGTCAATTTATGTATTTTCTTTGTAAAATAATTTTTTTAAAAATATGTCGAGGTCGGGAAATTCATCTAGGAAAATAAATACTAGTAGTCCCGACAGGAAGCCTAGTGTATTTGAAAGATTAGGAACCAAATCTAGTTCTATTTCTTCAAAAAATATTTGCCAGAGTTGGGCACAAAATGGAACCTGCCCACTCAATAAACAATGCAAGTAGGCATTTCAAAAATACTAATAGAGTTTTGATGGTAATCATTATTTTAATACTTAACTCCATGTAATCAATTAAAAATTTTTATAGGTTTGTAAATAGTCATATTTTGACTAGTCCATCTAAAAGAACTAAACCTGAAATTTCCAAAAAGTCTGTTAACATTCATAAAAAAATCAAAGATGATAATAGGAAATCAGTAAGGTCACTTCAAGGTTCAGATTTAGAGTGGGAAGGATGGGAACTACGAGATTTAGAAGAAGCAGATGAAAAGGCTTTAGAGAAAAGAAAGGAGGAATTACAAAGGGAGCTTCAAATTCAGTTGAAAAAGGAAAAGGAGTTAAATAAACAAAAAGAAAAAAAAAATGAAAAGGTATGTATTTAGAATCTAAAAAACTCTTTCCCTATATTATGAATCCTAATTTAAATGTCTGTTATTTTAAACATATGAGCCATTTTTTTATACATTTGATGAAAAAGTATGATTTTTTTTTAAAATAAGTTTTTAAAATTATTAAAAATTAATTTACCACATGATTTTTATATTGTATTTTGATAGGATGTAAGTAAAGACAATTTATTTAATAAATTTATTCATTCTAAAATTTAATCAAATCAATTCAAAAATTTCAAATGTTTTAGAGAGCTGCATCATCCAGTAGTTCATCTACAACTACTTCCGAATCATCCACTTCTTCCACTTCAACTAGTAGTTCCTCATCTGAGCCTGAAAAAAGATCTAATCGTAAAAGGAAGCATTCATCTTCATCCTCTGAGTCTGATAAGCGTTTGCATCGTCAGAAAAAGAATCCAAAAATTTTGAAAACAAAAACGAATAATTCCAAGAGAACTGTTGAAAAAAAAGAATCTCATAATGGAACAGATAGAAAAAATAAGAGTGTTATAGTTTCAAAAAAACTTTCAGTTCAAAAAAAAGGTTTTAGTCCTAGCTGGGAAAAATCTCGGGGGCGATCTCTTGTCAGGCATTTACCTTTAAAAAAGTCTTCTCCACGCTGTAGTTCGGAAACCACTAAAAATAAAAGTTCCTCTCCCCAATATGAGAAAACGCTCGGTAAAAACAAAAGTAAAATTTTTTCTCCAAAGGGAAAAGAATCTTCTCCTAAAAGAGGCGTCAAAAAAGTTAAGGACACCAGTCATTCAGTTAAAGACAAAACAAAACAGTCTCCATTAAAAGCACAAAATTCACCTGCTAGAAATCACAAAATGTCTTCACCTAGAATGCGAAGACACGACACGTCTACAGATAAGCGTCGTTCTCATTACGATGATCAAAAAAGTTCACCCAGAAGAGAAAAAAGTCGAAAAACAGTTCGCAGAGACAAAAGTAATGAGAATGATTCCAGTGGAGGTCTTAAAAAGGGCGGAAAAATTTTACCATTAAAGCCCCCTGCATATATGAAAGATAATTATTTAAAAAAAGAATCGGGACATTCAAAATCGTCTGAAAAAAATTCAAACGAAATAAAAGGCAAGCAAGAAAATGTTGAAAAAGACAGAAAACGCAGCGACCGAGAGAAAATTAAAGAAGAGAAAGACAAAGGTAAATGCGAAAAAGACAAATTAAAACCCAAAAAAAACAATAGTGATCATGAAAAGCGTTCTTTAAGAGAAAAAGATTTAGAAAGAGACACGGTTAGAAATAAAAGTAAACGTAGTCGCGAACTCGAATCAGGTCGTGTAAGGGTTACTAAAGAACGCGAACTGGAACGTCATAAAGAAAAAGATGAATCACTGGAACGATGTAGAGAACGTCAACGTGAAAGAGAAAAAACAGACAAGGATAGAAAGGAAAAAGATAAAAAACATCGCGAGGCTATGGATGGCAAACTAAAAGATATAAACAAAGAATCATCTCTATTGTTAGATCGAAAGTCAGAGGGCTTTTCGAGAAACTCCGGTGATTCTAGTACTATTAAATCGTCCGAAAAACTCGTATTGCGTGACCGTAGAAACAATGAAAAATCTGGCAATCAAAATAAAGATGGAAAAGAAGTACATGTAACAGAAAAAGATCACGATCGACGAGACGCAAGGCGTTCTGATGAAAATGAAAGAAAACAGTTGGAGAGAGATTACGATAGTAGAAAAAGTAGAGATGATATGCGCAGTGCCTTGGAACCTCCGCGTCGAAGTATAGGAGATGGAAAACGAACAATAGACAGTGGAAACGATTCCAGGAGACAATGGGAAGAAGGAAGACACACGGGAGATTCATTGGGCGATAGGAGAAGAGTTTTAGATTCAAACAACGACAGAAGACTTCATTCTCTGGGTAGAAGACCTGCAGAAGACCTATACAGACGTGGAAGAAGAGAAGGAGAATCAGATCTTAGGGAATTTTCTATAGATGAAAAAAGAAGGTATTTTTCACAGCAGTCAGTAACATCTAATGTTACTGTCATTATTCAGTTATACAAAAATAAATGACATTTGTAAAAAAAATTATATAAAATAGACAGGATATTTCTTCTTTTTTTTTTTTTAGCCGAAGAATATTACACAACTGTAATGATTGGAATACCAAAGATTCAGGTCTTGATTATAAAAATTCGGAAGGAAGGGATGATTGGAATCATATAGATAGACATCGAGAATGGAATTCAAGGTTCAAATTTTTTTTTCGTTGACTAAAATTATTTACGAATTTTCATTAATCTTTTTAAATTATTGATTCGAATGTTTTTTTTTTATTATTATCGTTTTTAAATGTTGATTTTAATTATTAATTTAGGTTTGATCAAAAATGGGTAGATCGTGAAGAACCACGTGATAATAATTGGAGTATGTACGTTAGAAAACCCCACGACGATTGGAAATCAGAATGGATTCAAGAAAAGCCTCATAAACTATATTGCGAAGAACATGGTTCAGAATTAAGAAATGATGAAATTAAAGGTAAATATTATTATAAAATTTAATATATATTCAACAGAAAAATAATATTTACAAAAAAAAAAAAAAAAAACAATTTTTCGAAAACAGAGCAGGACGAAAAAAAACTTGGTATCCATGAATCGAACGTGACTATTAATACCGAAAAAGAAAAAGAAACGATAAAAGTAGAATCTGGTAGTCAGTCTGCTCATAATGAAAAATCTTTAAAAGAAGAAGAAGATGCTTTGAGTGACATCAGTGACGATCCCGATGATATCCTTAATCAAGATGACGTAAGTAAAACTATAAAAAACTTAGGAAAATACAGGCCAAAAAAATTTCTTGGTATTTTTCTTATTTCGGTCATTAAAACTTACTACTTGCTTAGGAAATAATAAATTTGAAATAATTTGATATATAATAATAATAATAATAATATATGATAATAATTATTTTAATAAAAAAAATTATTATTTATTTAAGGAACCAATAAACGAAAATTTCACAAAAAATATCACTGACAACACACCGCAACAAATTTACAACAGCAATGAATTCTTATTTGATCAAAGGTAATACATAAAATAAATTAATTATTTATTTTACCTTATATTTTAATTAATTAATTTTTTTTTTTATTTTTTTTTTTTTAAGCAAAAAATCGTTACTCGAATGTTTAGGCGAGCGTTCATTAGATTTTGAAGAAATATCGGATGAAGAACTAGAAGAAGAAGCCCGTGCTAGTAAAGGTTGTTTAAAAATTTCTAATAATGGCGACATTAATTTATTGTACAATGTTAAAAAATTTATTTTTATTTTGATTGTAGGAATTGTTGATGTATTGGGTGCCGATTGGGCAACTTTACTTACAGAAACTCGTTCAAAAATTAAAAGATCAGAAAATTTAAGTTCAGGACATCGTCGTTGGATGATAAAAAAACTTGTCACAAATTTAGGAATTTCAATTAAATACGCTGGAGAGGAATTTTCCGAAAATCTTTTAAATAATGAAGAAAACGAAAGTAAGAGTTGCGTAACAACATTAATTATTGTTTGACATTTGTATTTTGTGTAAATTTATTGTTTCAGATTCCGAAGTAAAAAATTCAATTTTTATGAGATTAAGCGATTCAACAGAAGACAAACTCGTGGAAAACAACCAAGAATTAAACGTAGAAGAACAAGATAAATTAAATTCACCTAAAAATGAATCCAATTTCAAATTAGATTTTACATCCGATTATAAAAACAAACCTAGTTATATATTTCACTCTATTCCTGCATTGCATAGCGCTGTAGTTAGTAATAGATCATTAAAATCATTTTTATTTATGTCTCAAGTTCGTTTTAAAAGAGCACTTTCTGCAAGAACGGATCTTTCTTTAAGGTAAGTTTTTATAAAATTTTATTATTACACAATTATACGAATTAAAAAAAAAACTGTAATTTAAAAAAAAAAACAAATTAATAATTTTAAAATTACTTATTAACATTTTTAGAAGGATATTATGTGGTTTGCCCTCAAAAGAACATTTGCATTTTATTCCTCCGCTCGATAACAAAATGTATGAAACAAACATTCAACAATTTCAAACTTTTTCTTCTACGGCTGCGGTGTGATTCGCATGTATTCTTTTTTTGAAGGCACTTGAATTATTTTACAACCTTTGGGAAATAATTTTGATACATCTTTTTGAGGAATCGATGGAAGAATCATGCAATCATCTCCATTCTAAAAAAAAAAAAAATATAAATCAATAAGTTATTAATTTAAAAAATAAAAATAAAACAAATAAAAAATTGTTTAAAGTTTTATTTTTAGCTTATAATGAGGAAAAGCTTGAGGGAAAACTTTTAACATCATTTAATGATTGAAAGAAAATGTATTGCAAACCAGGTTTAAAAATATTTCTAAAAAAGTTTTGTAATGAAACAGAGCACCAAAACAATATGATAACCTTTTGACTGAACACATATGAAAAGCCTGAACATTAAATCTTTAATTACATTTATGAATGAATTGATTAGAAAATATACATTTAAAAATCGAGTATCAAAACCTTAAATTATATAAATTTTTTTTTTTTTTTTTTTTTTCAGTTGTTGTAACTTTGTACATTATTTAATAATTAGTTTTCTATAATTTCTTAAACCTTACCTTCCAATCGACAGGAGTGGCAACTTTATTATTATCAGTTAACATAAGTGAATCAATCACTCTTAAAACTTCTCTGAAAAAAAAAAATTTAAGTAAATGAAAAAACTCAATTGAAATTAATAAATTATTAAAAAAAAGACTTTTGTTTACTTGAAATTGCGTCCTGTTGTAGCTGGATAAAGAATGGAAAGTCTTAATTTCTTTTTGGGATCAATAATAAAAACTGCTCTGCAAGTCAATGGAAGACCTGAACTGTCTTTTTCATCAGGGTCTAACATTCCTAATTTAACAGCTAATTCCCTGTTAGGATCTGATATGATGGGGTAGGGAAATTTACCTTCTGAAAAACTAGAGCAACTTAATATGTCCTAAAATAAATTAAATTAAATCAAATTATTATTTAAAATGCATAATTTATAGTTAAAGTAAATCAATGAAAATTTTTGTATTACTTTAATCCATTCAACATGTGATTCAATTGAATTACATGACAGAGCTATAACTTTAACTTTTCTTTCCTGGAATTCAGGCATTAATTCAGTTACTCTGGCAAGCTCTGTTGTGCATACCGGCGTGAAATCGTTAGGATGAGAGAAAAAAATGCACCATCTAAAATTTTACAAAAATAAACTATTAAATTTTTACAAAAATTGTAGCAGAAAAGCAACAGAATTGGATCGAGACATGTGAGCTTGTTATTTTAAAAATTAAATAATTTTATTACAGGTCAATTAAGAAAAATGCCTTAACTAAATGCCTGGCAATGAAAAAAAAAAAAAAAAGTTGAAAGTAAACAAATAATAAAAAAAAATGATTGTGTACGTACGAATCATTAATCCAATCGTGAAAAGATATTTTACCATTGGTTGTGTCAGCCTCAAAATCAGGGAATTCATCCCCCAAATTTATTCCCATTTTGGATGAATATTTATCGTTTTCAATAAACTATAACTCAAGTATAAAGTATTTTTTTAAATACAGCCAACTTTTGAAAAATTAATTTTTTTAGTTTACACAATTTGAAAATATTATTTTGGCACCACTTTTATTAGAAATAGTCACGTAACAGACGGGCAAGTGAAATTTTAAAAATCTTTTCTAATTATTTAATGTTTTTTTAAAGTGTTAAGTCTTGCAGAGATTCATGAAATAAAATATTGAAAGGTAATTTAAGACTTTATTTTTTTTAAACAAAACAAATTATATACTTAAACATACATTGCAAATGGATCGAAAATTTAAGATTAGAAATAAATGGTACTTTTTCAGTTTCTGTTAGGAAAATCATTAGAAAAATATATAAAAAAAAAAAAAAAAAAACGAACAAAACATTTAAAAAAATGAAGAAAAAAAAATTGTTAAGTTAGAAATCAATTAGAAAAAGTTAAAAATGATTTTAAAGTGCATTTTAATTGAAAATATTTAAATCTGAATAATTTTTTAAGTAAAACCGTACTTAAATTTTAACCGAAAATGGTTTTGAAAATTCGAAGCAGTGTTGCCAACCGCAACGTCTTACCTGCTTTATTTTTTTACTTTGTTTTGTTTTAAGATTTTATTAACGCGCTTAACTTTGTAAAACTTTTACGTCAGCCCCTCACTACGAATATTTATATAAAATTTGTTATTATTTAAAATTTACTATAAAATTAATTACAATTTAAAATTAATTGAAATGAGAAAAGAACGCGAATTTTCATTATATAAGGTAACGACTTGAGCATTTATTTAAAATATGATTTAAATGAAATATTTTATTGCTTATCTCGCGTAAAAAAAAGGAAAATACTGAACATTATTTCTGTACTTGAAAATAAAATGAATTTTTTTTTTTTTTTTGAGGTATATTAATAATCTTGCATCTTCATCGATAATATAAATACTATCAACTTTTTTTTCTGTTAAATTAACTAAATAACAGTAATAGTAGTAGTAGTAGTAGTAATAATAATAATAATAATAATAGTAATTCACACAATGCATTTTATTAAAATTCACGAAATTCTTTTTGAAATTTATCATTAGAGCCCACATGTAAGGTTTCTTCATCGTAATGATCGTAATTTGAAGTGTCCCCGGGGCTTCTCACTTTGGGCATAAAGGGTGGTTCAACCATGTGATTCAGTAAATTTAACCATTCAACATTTTTAAACCACTTATGACCTTTAATGTCTTCGACGCCATTTTTCAAATTACCGTAGCGTCGCGATAAATCAACTTGAAGTAAATTTTTTATCAAATCTTTTATGTCGGGCGTGAAATTGGATGCGAAACGAAATTTTCCGGATACTATTTTTTCGTAAATCTTCATGGGGTCGTTTGCATAAAAAGGCGGATAACCGGCGGCCATTTCATAAATTAAAATTCCGAGGGACCACCAGTCAACGCTTTTACCATATCCCTTACTTAGAATAACTTCGGGGGCTAAATATTCGGGAGTTCCGCATAACGTCCACGTTCGCCCGGAAACAATTTTACAAAATCCGAAATCGGTTAATTTTAAATAACCGTTTCGGTCTATGAGAATGTTTTCGGGTTTTAAATCTCGATAGACAAGGTCTAAATGATGAAGATATTGTAAAGCAAGAACAACTTGAGCTGCGTAAAATCTACAAAGGTTTTCTTCAAATTTACCGAGTTTTCGAAGATGCGAAAACATTTCTCCGCCTAAAATGAACGGCATGACAAAATAGAGGTAGCTATTGTCTTTAAAAAAAAACTCCATATAAACCACAAAAGGAAAATGTATGGACGAAAGAATTCTTTTTTCGTATAGCGTATGTTCGACTTGCTTCAAACGTACCAATTTAGATTTGTCTAGAATTTTCATGGCGTAAAAAAGTCCGGTTTTTTTATTTTTAACCAACATGACTCGACCGAAGGATCCCGTACCTAAAGTTCTCATGCGATCAAAATCTTCTAATAAAACATTTGGAGGATTAGTAAATTTTCTGTTGAATTTAACATTGAAATCGATTTTAGCCCTATCTAAATGGGCTTGTAAATCTGTGACGAGAGATCCAGTTCTTTCACAGGATTTGGATTTATCCAGTGGAGCTTCTAAAAATTTTTTTAAAATTCACATTTACTATTTAGAAAGATATGATTATCTCATAATTATTTATAAATCGTTGTTAGACGAAAAGGAATCATTTTGCAAAACAATGTTACTTTCACATATAAATATTAATAATTATAATGTTTAATTTACCGTAATCGAATTTTATTCGTGATAATTTTTTTTGTTGTAAGAGGAACAAAAAAAAAAAAAAAATTATTATTACTATTATTATTATTACTCACCAACTTTGATTTCGCTCATTGAAATAGGCATGTCTTAAATAACTAAAAAAAATTACATATTTTTTCGGGCATTTTTATTATGTTGTCCTTTTATATGCTGTAACAAAGTTTTATGTCATCCAAAAAAATTATATATATATATATACATATATATTTAAAATAAATTTGTAGATTTTGAGTTTTTAATTTTGATGTAACACAACAATTATTCTTTTGTTTTTATTTTTATTTAATGTTTATAAAAAAAAAAAATAATAAATAAAAACTCCGCCTTCTCAATGGGGAAAATTAGTGAAAAAAAAACTATTTTACAAAAAAATACTTAATGTGCTCTGCTAAGTAAAAAATTAATAATTTTTTATTTCTGGTTGCAATAATCTAGTAAAACTTAGTCTACTAAGTAATTGATAATAATAGTTTTAGAATAATTGTTAAAATAATTTTTTTTTTATTCGGTAGAGAAATTCATTTGTTAGTTTTACATCATTAATTTTTTATATTAAATTTTTTAAAATTAAAATTACAAAATGAATTTTTTTGGTCGCAAATTAGCTTCTTTACATAAATTCTTATAATTACCTACATTTATATATTAAATATTAAATTAAACGAAACAACATTTATTCCTTTGGTCATTATATTTTTTAAAAAAATTTTTTTTTCAAATGTTTAACAATAAAATAAAAAGCGTATTATTAAAAAATATCAATAAAAGAGATTACTTTGAAAAAATAAAATAAAAAATAGTAAAAATAAAGTAAAAAAAAAAGACTCGATAAATAATTTGATTAAATTAAATTTTTCAAAAAGAGTTTTTTTTTTTTTTAAATTATTTATATAAATTGAATTCCAGACTCATTGGTAAATAACTGGAATGTCGGTGATAAAAATTACTTTAAATCTAATCAGTTTAATTACTAAGAATTATAAAAATAATTATTATTCTATTGTTATTTATGATGCTTGATTATTTTTCTCATTTTTTTGTTCTATAAAAAAAAGGCACTTAATTTAAATTTAATTTTTTTTTTTTTTTTGTTGTTGTATGAAATTAAAAAAAATTTACAACTCATCTTTTGCTATTAATTTTCGACAAGTGCATGGAAATTCGGGTTTATTTTGGACAACATGTTCCATATCTTGTAAAATTTTGGGCGATTCAATCAAACGGGAACTCCAATCCTGTAAAAAAAAAAAAAAAAAAATTAATAACTTATTTAATTTATACTATACATATTAATGAAAAATTATAAACAATTTTCTTTAAGCGTAAATAATTTTAATAATAATAATAAAATTAAATATTTTAAACCGTGGATTTTATCATGCAAAAAATAAAAAATATATAGATTTATGGAAAATTGCAAGGCTAAAAATACTAACAAATTATTAACAATAAGTTTATACGAAATTTTTGGTTCTCCATGATTCATTTTTTATTGTTTCATTATTAAATAATTTACAAAATCACATTTAAAAGTAATATTTTGATAAATGTTAACATTTACCTTAAACAAAACGACATAATAACACAATACATCTTTTGGCATTAAATTTTCATTAGCAAATTTTTGAGCTTGAATTGAAATATTTTGGGCGAGTTCATCATTATCTCGTAACCATTTAATTACGTCAATTAAATTAGATAAATCTTTTTTTATTGGCACATAATGTACGTGAGGAATTAAATCTCTATAAAAATGTTCAAAATATTGAGAATTTTGTTTAAGAACAACTGAATCTCCAGCAAGTAGAAATGGAAATCTGTATGCAGCTACAGTTCCGTCAACATTGATTTGATACTTGTACTGAAAAAAAAAAAAAAAAAAAAACAACAACATTAAACTAATAAGCATTATTAAAATTTTTAGTAAACTACTAATATAGAGGAAGTGTTTACTTAGAATAGCGAGATAAATATTCACTTTAGTTAAATAAAGGTTCATAATTGAGTAGTACCTTAATTTAATTATTTCTTACCTGAAAAAAATCATAAAAAGGAATAGGATCTGTTTTGGGACCATATTCTTTCTCTTTATCTTGAAAAAAAAAAAAATTTGTAAGACTTGCATTGACATAGTCAGGAAATTTTTTAGATAATTTTATCAAATTAAGTCTTTCAACACTAGAATCTCTTCCTCTCCAAAATCCTTTATTTATTTTATCATTCCAGGAAGCTCCTGTGTTCCCTTGTACAGACAACATGTCTCTTGAAACTCTAAAAAAAATTTTTTTCACCGATTCATCTGTCAAAAACTAATTGAAAATGCAAAGATACAAATTTAACAGGTTTATAAATTATAATAATGTATGATGTAAAAATTTCTTTACTTAATATGTAAATAATGAAATTACATTAATGTAAACAGGGAAAAGTATTATATGTAATTTTATTATAATAAAATACCTCACCTGCCCATACACTCCAAAGTGGCTTCTGTTAAATCATATGTAGGCATTATAATATCAGATGTAAAATTGGATCCGCACCAAGAAAATATTGGTAAAGGAGATGGAGAATTATCTTCTAATGGCCAATCACCCAAATTGACAATGAATTCAAAATCTGGTAATTCAATCTTTCTTGTCAAAGAAAGTAATAGTGCATCAACAAAAATTTTAAAATCAACATATTCTCCATAACACTTTCTGTATATTTCATTATCTTTAATAACATAATGACATAAACTTATACTTCTTTGACTGCTATATTTTTCCAAAACTTTTAAGAGAACTTCACTAAATTTCACTTTGGGAAACGATTCAAGATCTGATACAATTTGATTGTAGGTTTTTTTGCATTTCATATTTTTCAACCAGTTATTTAAATCCTGTGGACAGTAACAATCATCTGAATAAACTACATCATTATAAACTTTTGGAAAACCATTTATTGGCTGATTGTCAAATCTTAAATCAATTTTTAAATTATCACATGTATTAAATAGTTTATATCGAACAATATAAGATCCATCATTTTTTGACAAAATATTACTCCAAATTTTACAATTTCCCAATGAATTTTTACCAGAAATATGAACATCTAAATCTCCATTAGGCGGTGTTCTAATTCTGAAATTTTACAACAAACCATATAATGTTTATAATATATTAATTCTAATATGCTCTTCCATTTTTTAATTATTGAATTTTTTCTCATAAAACCAAAGTCTGATGATAGTTTTACAAATATAAAAATTATAAGTTAGGGGACAAATTATATGAAAATATTATATAATAACAAATACTGAGGCAAAAATTTTTAACGTGAAACAATTTTACTAAAAAAAAACATCCACACAAAACACAAGTTTCCAGCATTGAAATAAAAATAAAAAATTATAAATTTTCAAATAACTAAAAAAAATTATAAATAAATTGTGAATAAAAAAAAAAATTATTTAAAATATTTACTCATTTCCAGACGTATCCCGAAGTTTTACAAAAAAATATCGGGCTGGAAAAACCAATTCTGTTGGAAAAAGGCCGGGTCCCCAAGCCTCAGATAAGGTAGCATCCACTTTTGCATCAGTCTTAGTTTTTACAAAATTAAAAAAATTTGAAAGGCAAATAATGAAAATTAAACTTTTTAATGGAATCATCACTAATAAAGAAAATAACTCACAACTCCGGCAAATTAATAACTAAAATTTATTATCTAAGAATTAACAGTCATTTTAACAATTATCTCGTTGCCAACAAAAATTAAAGTTTCATTAAGATGACACCGTTGAAATTGTTAGCCGGGATTAAAAACATATTTAAATTTCTGCAGAAAATTTATAATTTTTATTGTCAGGCATGTATTCGTATTTATTTTATTTATTTAATTTTTTTTTTTTTTAATTGATTATTAAAGAGAAGTTTTAATTAGTGAAAAAGACTTAAATAATTTGGGTGACTTCAAAAATTTTATTAGCTATTAATTATGCGGGTTATTACTAAATAAAAAAAGGGAATATTGCATCATAAAATATTTATCATGCTAATGAGTTTAATGCTGTTATATTTTTGAACTTTCACCTTTTGCACTTATAAAAGTTCATTTTACTTTTTGGAATCCCCAAGAACAGTATTGGTTTAAACGAGTTTTTTCTTTTTTAACAATATGCTCAAAAATTTGTATTTCATTTTACTTTGAATGTACTTATTTTAAAATTGAAAATGATTTATGACTTATATAAGTGTGTTTAAATCCCAATAAATTTATTTTACAAATTAAATAAAAAGAATAAAATAATTTTATTTTATTAACTTATAACAAAAAAAGTTAACATACAAATTATATGATACAATGAATGTAATTTTGTAATTTTTTGCCACCATAAACTTGTATCTAAAATAATTTTATTTTTCCCTGATTGTTTTTAAAACTGGCAAGATGTTTTTCTTGCCTGCATTTTTCTACAGTGAATGCTAACTTATTCGCTTTTTTTTCTTGCCTTCTTTCACGCCGATATTCTTTGATATTTTGTTTTCTTATTTTTTTTTCATCAGATGTTTCATTTTTTGGTCGAATGGAAAGTTCAGACACAAGGGATATTATAGATTTTGTTTGAGGTTTTATATCATCTTGATTGAGTTTTGATAATGCATATGATGTAAGTTTTGTATTTCCTAAAATATCCATAGGAACTCCAGTTTTTTTATTAATAACAATTTTGTCAGAATTCTGAAAAAAAATTAATTAAAGATAAAATTAAAAAAAAAAAGTTATGTTCAAATCGTCATTTTTATTGAATCATTATTTTAATTACTTTGTAAAAATCCTAAATTATTGTATGTAACAAATGAATGCATATATATATATGTAGCAAAATTGTATAAAAAGTTATTTTATAAAAATTATCAAAAAATTGTTTAAAAAAAAATATCAAAACGATTTAATAGGTGAATAAAATTTGAAGTAAATTTTAATTTTACCTGTTTTTCTGTAATTTTGGCTGGGTGATTGTATAAATTTGAATATGTTGATAAAATACTCATACAGTCCCATTTATCATTAGTATCTTTAACAGGAATTAAATCAATTTCTTCCTCAATTGATTCTAATTTTGTTGCTGCTTGTAAAATTTTTTTCTTTAATTTTACATCTTCCTTTATTGGTTTAAGATCTACCTCAGATTCTACTAATACTTGAAGATTTTCAATGTCACATGTTCCTTCTATATCATTTAAAGGTAAACATCCAACATCATTGTCATTATACTTTTGAAAAACCTACACATAACACAGAAATAAAAATCATTGTGGGATTAAAAATAATTTTTAAAAACAATAAGGCAACATTAATTTGCTTAAGTTAAAATTAATATAAATCAAAATTTGTAAATTCAAGAAAAATAAATTTATAAAATTACCTTTTCAAAATGGTTGTCTAAAAGTGTGAGTTGTTCATTTCTTCTAATGACAGAGCTTGATAGAGAATAATCAGTAAATAAAGATTTGGTTTCATCAAAACCATTTTCACTTTGTAAATCACCCTCATCACTGAATTCATCATATTCCTCATTAGAAGAACCTGAACTGTAACAATTTTAAAAATCACATTTTAATATATTTGAATAAGTTGTTTAAGTACAATTTTGTTTTCATTTTGATTTATTCTAAAGCTCAAGATCATTTTTTTACTTTTTTTTTTGTAATAAATCTTTTCTCTTACCTTATTTGATTAGCAATTTCAATGAAGTTGTCTTCAAGAATATTATCAGGATTATTAAAATCAAAATCATCATCTAATGCAGCCACAATTTCAGGATCAATATCAAGCCTTGGACCATAAATAGGAGCTGCTTTATTTAAATATCCTACTGATTCTTCAAAATCTGATTCAAAAACAGAGGATGGTAAGAGTACTTTAACCTGTTGAAAATAAACTCATGTATTTAAGAGAAATCATGAATTTAAAAAAATAAGCAAATTATAGCAATAATCACATTTTCTGAGGTTTTGATATTTTTTTGCTTATCGTCAATTTTGTAATTGACTTGTTCCCAATCAGTGATGGGTTCATTAAGGGATTTTAAATGTTGCATGTAATTATATTCATCGTCGAAAAATATTCCATATTTTTGTTCCTCTTCTTTATTTTTTTCTCCGCTACATGCTTTTAAAACATATTGCGGAGCATTTTCATCAACTGCTAACGGATCATGTTGACTTCGATGAACTAAATTGAAAACTAAGGCATTTTTTTTCGAAATAAATTTTCTCTTTTTTTTCGCCTAAAAATTAAGGATTATGATTAATATTGTAAAACTTATGCATGAAATGACGAAGAAAAAGAGTAAACATTATTCTATAAATACCATATTTTATTTGCCTTTATTACAGAATTTAATTCATTGAATCACTTAAAAATGTTTTTATACCAATAAACACTGGCAAAAAGAATTTCACAACACGAGAGGACTTGAATATCTAAAATGCAACATAAAAATTTGAACCCCAGCAAATTCAAATGTAATTTTCACGTGATACACATAATGACATTCGATTATTGTTATTTTAAATTAAATTAATATTAAGAAGACAGGGTCGATTTTTATATCTCTCTCAGTTATTTCATATTGTTTTTTTATAGTTAAATTTATTTCTAAAATGGACCTTCAAGGTTTATCTGGATCAGATATTATGATAATTGGAGGAAATTCACATCCAGATCTTGTCAATCTCATCGCCAAGTATATAATACATTTATTTATATTAAAAAGTATAAAAGTATTACAATTATAACTAAGTTTTTTTATATATTAAATATTTTTTTGTTTCCATTACAGTAGGCTGGGTGTTAAGCTCGGAGGATGCTCTGTTTATCATAAAACAAATCGTGAAACAATGGTTGAAGTAGCGGATTCAGTAAGAGGAAAAGATGTTTATATAATTCAAACTGGTACTAAGTAAGTTATTTTTTAAAAAAATTCTAGGATAAATAAATGCCTAATTGATTTTTTTATTAATTAAATTTATTTATTTTTTTGTGTTAAAGGGATTGTAATAATAATATCATGGAGTTATTAATAATGGCATATGCTTGTAAGACGTCTTCAGCAAAGAGTATTGTCGGAGTTATTCCATATTTGCCTTACAGTAAACAGTGTATGTATTTACTGTAAAATATAACAATTTAATTTCATTTGTTTAAAAAATCAAAGACATAATTTATGTTTAAAAATATTTCTCACAGAGGTATTCTTATATTAAGTCTTTCTATATATAATTTATTTTTTCAAATTTCTTACGTATGATTCCCTGAAAAAAAAAAAAATATATATTTACTTATTTATATATACATTACAAGATAGTTAATGTACCCAATCAATAATATTAATACTAATGATTTGAAGAAATTTTTATATTGAAATAATTAAATTTTATACAGGTAAAATGAGGAAAAGGGGTTGCATTGTTGCAAAATTACTAGCAAAAATGATATGTCATTCTGGTCTTACTCATGTTATCACAATGGATCTTCACCAAAAAGAAGTTCAAGGATTCTTTGATTGTCCAGTTGATAATCTTCGGGCATCTCCATTTTTATTACAATACATTCAAGAATGTGTAAGAATTCTTTTTTTGTACACAGTGTTTTCCAATGCCCTTTCTTTATGTAATAAACAGTAAGTTTTTTTGTTTGTTTTATTTCTTAGTGAATCATTCAATTTATTTGATATCATTTTATTTTAATTTTGAAAAAACATCAAAAACACTTGAACTGTTCAATAATGTTCTAAAAATACTTTATAATTTTTTGATAAGGTAAATGAATAACAGATAATTGATAATTCATAACTAGGCACTAATACAAATATAAATGTTACATTACTCAATTAGTTTTTTTAATTAAAATGTTATCTTTTTTGATTTTTATATATATATGTATATTTATTTACCTTAAAGTTTTTATTTTTTAAAAAACTTTAATTTTTTAAAATTATTATTCTTTATAATTTACATATTTGAAAAATCAAAACTATATTTAAATGACGATGTAAGAATAAATGATACCTTAAAAGATTACATCCTTTTATTTATGTGGGAATAATTTTTTTATTTAATTATTAGATACCAGATTATAGAAATGCCGTAATGGTTGCCAGAAACCCTAATTCAGCAAAAAAAGCAACCAGCTATGCCGAACGTTTGCGTTTAGGAATTGCTGTGATTCATGGAGAACAAAAAGATTCTGAAGTGGATGAGGTAGATGGTCGTAATTCTCCTCCTGCTGTTCCTCGTTCCAGAACTATGGATGTGCCTGACAGTGTACCAGTTCATCCAGCAAAAGAAAAACCTCCAATGAATGTAGTTGGAGATGTTGGAGGTAGAATTGCTATTATGGTTGTAAGTGTATAAAATTTTTAACATTGAATTATTACAATACTATTGACTTTATAAATTTACAATATTATTGTAAATTTTATAAATTATTTTATGTATTTTTAATGAAGTTTTTTTTTTTTTTTTTTTGTAAACAGAAAATCTCGTTTTGCTTCTTTATAAGTAATTTCAGTAGCTACTTTTTTACTCGCAGTAACGAATTTTATTAATAATAAGTTTTAAAAAGACTTGAAAAATTTTTATTTATGATCTAGAAAGACCAAAAAGATTTTTGCAACCATTGTATTTTTAAAATAACTTAACAAAAAGGAATAAACTTATTTAATTAGTGAAAACTTATTTTATTTAGGGTTGCCTTTAAAACTTTTTAAATTATGATTAAATTTATCATTTTAAGGTTATTATATCCATATTTTAATTACGCTAAAAATTGACACTTGATATTGTAATTTAATGAGTAATTTGTTGTTCTCTTGTTCATGTTAAAAAAAAAAAAATTATTTAACTAAGACTTTTCATTTGTTTTAGGATGATATGGTTGATGATATGAAAGCATTTGTAGCAGCTGCTGAGGTTTTAAAAGAACGTGGAGCATATAAAATTTATGTTCTTGCCACTCATGGTCTTTTAAGCTCTGATGCACCGAGTCTTATAGAAGATTCTCCCATTGATGAAGTTAGTATAATCTTTTTTTTTTTCCTTACCTATTTCTATAATTTGCATTTTTTTAAAAATAAGTATGACTAGATGACTTATTGATTTCTTTATTTTTTTACAAAATCGATATTTTCATAAGGGAAAATGAATTTTATACAATTAAAAAAAAATAATAATAATTTCAGGTTGTTGTTACAAACACAGTACCACACGAGCTTCAGAAAATGCAATGTCATAAAATCAAAACAGTAGATATATCTGTTTTACTTTCTGAGGCTATTCGTCGAATTCATAATAAAGAGTCTATGTCATATCTATTTAAAAATGTTACATTAGAAGATTAATAGTGATTTTATTTATAAATTATTTAAGAATATTATAATTTATTAATAAAATCAAAACAAAAGTTAATGTTAATAACACTGACATTGATTTTCTACTACTATTTTATCATTCCCTTTTAAGTTATCAATTTCTGTAACATTTGGAATAAAAAAGTTGTTTGAATATAATTTAAACTATTTTTCTTTTACTATAAATGTTTCCAAAAAATTATTTTTTTGATTTTAGACACTAGCTATGCAACTAAAAAAAATCCAAATAAGTTTTATATTTAATATCAAATACATAGTATGATTATTGTATTGATGGAAAATTTTAAAATTTAGCTCTCAAGTTTACCAAGATAATGTTTACTGACATAATAAC